GCTCTTTTCTCAGTTACGTTCATGGTTACGTTACGTTACGTATGACGAAAGCGCGTAAGTGCAAGCCCTCAGACACCCATAGAGATTGTATTGAAGGCTCTGAAATTTGAAAAAAATAGATTTTACATTAGAGGCTATGAGAGACTTCTGGACGATTTTCAACCTGACTGAAATCGCCCCAAAAGGGGGGGGAGCCATTTGAAGCACGACTTTAGCCTGATTCGACATTTAGTGGCAGTGTGGCACTGTGGCAGATCAGACGTATAGATTACAACACTGATAACTACTGTTACCGTGATATAATTGATTAGAAAAAAAATCCCTTCCTTTTCCCGTTTGGCAGTGCGTCGCCCATATCGCCCTATTGAACAGGCCGCCCCTGGACACAACATAGCCTACTGGTCTGTCTCTCCCTCCCCACTCCCCACTTCTCTCTTTTACTCTGTAAAGGTCAGACCTCCAGCTGTCTCAGAGTGTTTACTTCAACACAGAGGAACTGAGCAGAAGGAGAGAGTCAGCAGAGGGGAGTAGGGGTGACAGACTGGTGACAGAGAACAGACTGAAGGGGGAAGATGGGGAAATAGACAGAGCACATAGAGGTGATGTGACTTGCACTGAGAGAGCAGGCAGACTCACCAGGCCACATCTGTACTATTGCTGGCCATTAGTCACTCACATTGTGTCCTGTGGAAAACAATCAATTCCATAAGGTCGAGAAGAGCCTGTAAATGCATTGGGAAAGGGTGTGGGTCCATGAAGGTGTGGCTTAAAAAACTACTCTTGAGTATGTGGATTGGGAGGTTGGCAGGGTGGTCACTAGATGGCTTAGCCACAAAGTCATAGAATCTGATGTTAAACCTAACCCTAACCTTAACCCTAATCACACTGCTAACCATATGCCTAACCCTAACATTGAATTAAGACCAAAAAGCACATTTTTCTTTTCATATTTCTTTTAACGATATAGCCAATTTTGACTTTGTGGCTGGGCCATCTAGTGGAAACCTCTCAGCTTTGCCTCCAGGAAAAGATTCATTCCAATAAACTTAAACCTGCAGTGGGCAGAATTTCATTTAAAAAGTTGGTGCTATGGTTTCAACAGAAATCACAGGCTGAATTAACTGAGACCTGTAAAGAGGGAAGAAAGATAGAAAAAGGAGGAAGCCATAGACCAAGAGGGCGACAGGAGTCTGGATAATATACTGTGGTCTTGACAATGTCCAGGGGCATGGAGGTGGTGATGGGTGTTAGTGATGAGCAGGTGGTGACCAGTCCATCTAATCACACTGGCACGAGGTGGCAATGACGGATGTCTGGTCATCTCCAAAATATCCCTGTACGTAGCTGCCATGGTAATGATTCTCTTGAGGTTCCCTTCACTCAAGGTTGTCTGCAAAATGCAAATAACTATTGCAATAACTATCAACATACATGCAATTGAAATACTGCTCATTCCTGTTAAAAATTGCAATATTGCAAAACACTTTTTTAGCCATTTAATGGTTATTGTGGGAACATGGATATACAGAAACTTGATATGATTTTAAATCAATGCAAAATATTTACTTAATTTTCACCATAGTCAAAAGGCAGACAGACCATGAAAACTACTGTGTGTGTGTGTGTGTGTGTGTGTGTGTGTGTGTGTGTGTGTGTGTGTGTGTGTGTGTGTGGCCCTGCCAAGCTTCCGGTAGATCTGGTTGCATGACCACCAAAAGACATATGAGGTATAATTTTAAGGGCAAGCATACAGTAATACATTCAAAACAAGGCTTATTTCTTTTTTTTTGTTTGTTTGTTTCAAGACAGTTATGCAGGCAAAGTTAGTGTTAAGGAGTGACCTAGGCATTTATGTACATTGGGAGAATTTCAGTTCAACTTGAGCCTGTTAATAATATTGCATAACCACAGAACAAAACAACATGTCAATCTGGTTGGATCTGTCGTTTGCTCACTTCAGAATCCAACATGTTTCATATTCCAATATTCCAGTATTCCATATTCTAGTATTTACATACACCAGTGGTTAAAACACAAAGAAACCAGTATCAAAAAGCACAGAGAACACTCATCAGTAATGACAGGGGGATAACAAGCGTGGGACAAATCTCTCTCAATTCAAATTCACTAGCGTTTCCTTAGCCTGACCACAAACCAAGGGTTTACATGAGAGGTTCACATAGCAGGAGTAGGTCCTGATACTAGGAGTAATATCTACATGTAATTAACAGAAGTTAAATAAAGATGACAATTGACTGAAAGTTATAATACAATTGGGAGAGAATAATCATATTTGGTATGGAAAAACTACAATGAACTACAGAAATAGGCTGAGCAGCTGTGTCCAGGCTGCCCAATAAAATACCAAATATAATCTGCTTCAAACACAACACTGTCTAAATCTCATCCCCAGAGATGTGTAAAAAAGCACATTGCCTTTAATCAAAGTCCAAATTATTATTTACAGTCACCTCCAGAATTATTGGCACCCTTGATAAAGATGAGCAAAAATGTATAAAATGAATAATACAAATACTGTATATTGTATGCTCAATTTATTTTATTTTATACTAATACAATTGCTCAGAGAATTATACTTTTGTCTATCAAGTAATAATAAAAATATAAAAAAGATAGGAGTATCCCTCTTCTCAATACTCGCGTGGCCAAAGAGCTCTATTTTCATGTCATCCAACAAATGTAAACACCTGGAGTTTGCTTAACAGCATTGGCAATTGGATTGGAACCGGTGCTATGGTCAGATTACATGAAAATAAAGCTGTTTGGCCACACACACCAGTGGTGGGTTTGGCGTCGAAAAAAATATGTATATGCAGAAAAGTACCTCATACCTACTGGAAAATATGGTGGTGGATCTTTAATGTTATGGGGCTATTTTGCTTCCACTGGTCCTGGGACCCTTGTTAAGGTCAACGGCATCATGAACTTTAACCAGTACCAGGATATTTTTGCCAAAAACCTGGTTGCCTCTGCCAGGAGGTTGAAACTTGGCCGCAACTGGATCTTCCAGCAAGACAATAACCCCATGCACACATAAAAAGAAACAAATAAATTGTTAATTGACCACAAAATCAACATTTTGCAATGCAATGGGGTTCATGTCTGGAGACTGAGATGGCCATATAGTATATAGCCATCTCAGTCTCTGGACTCGAACCCCATTGAAAACCTGTGGTTTGAATTGAAGAGGGCAGTCCATAACTGCAGACAAAGGATATCAGTATCTGGAAAGATTCTGTATGGAGGAATGTTCTAAAATCCCTCCCAATGTTTTCTTCAATCTCATAAAACATTTTAGAAAAAGGCTCAGTACTGTTATCCTCGCAAGGGGAGGGTGCAGGACTATTGAAAACAGAGATGCCAATAATTTTGACCGCCATCTTTTTAACAAAATGATTACTTGTTAAACAAAATCTCTTTCTCTGAGCAATTGTATTATTATAAAATTATATAATTTTCCCATTTCTTTTGCGTACAATATATCTCAGTATTTGTATTATTATTTTATACAGTCTTTTATGCTAATCTTTATCAAGGGTGCCAATCATTTCTCAATACAGACACACTTGACTTCACTCTGCTACCTCTCTCTGTCTGACTCATTCCCAGTGAGACTGAACACACAGAACATTATGGGGTGAACATTGCACTTTGAAGACAGAGGAATTCTTAATGTAAAGGTTATGATTTGCATGTTCTGTGGCCTCATTTAAATGTTAAAAGAAAGCATCAAAAACACATTGAAAGACTGCTAGTTTACCACAGTGGGTTGTACCCTCTAAGGCTGAGGAAGAATGACCTACAGTATCTTTCATTAGGGGTTCCACTCTCCACAGTCTTTAGTGGATGAGTAAATAGGCTCTTCCAAACAAGCAGGAAAAGCCTTGGTTTTCATTGTCATTGACGCAGAAATGGTTTGATATGGAGGACAATACACACGTCACACAGACCCTGTCAGCGGGCTGCAGAGAGTAATTAAAGCAAAGCTCCAAGATGTGCCCGCCAGTGCAGAGCCTGGATCAGCCCATCCCACCTGCTAGTGCAAAAAGACTGCTTAGAGGGGCACTGCAAATCTACACAAACCACAAAAGCCATGCCACATTGTCTCTCTTAAAGGGACATGCACACAGTGTACACACAGAGAAGACACAAAGGAAGACACTGCTGTTAAAGGACACAGAGTGACGGGCCAGTCACATAAGGAGATGACAAGCCAGACACCCATGTGCTGCTAACCTTTGGCTCTCTGCTGGGTACTTAACATCATAGGGACTCACTAGCTGTGGAGAAAGAGTGTATGTCCTATGACAGCGCCGGTCACACAGTCAGTGGGAGAGTGCAGAGCTGTGTCTCAAGTTGCTTCATGGCATCAAAAAGTTCTCATCTTATTGACAACACTGTTGATAAAGTAGAGTGCAGTTTGCTTGACGATACTGAGCACCTCCTTCATTTAACTACCTCCATCTCTAACTTTGCCCTCATTGGTCTCTCTGGAAGACAGAAACCTAACGCTCCATGCTTTGGCCTCACATTGACATTTTTGTAATTTAGCAGACACTCTTATCCAGAGTGACTTACAGGATCAATTAGAGTTAAGTGCCTTGCTCAAGGGCACATCGACAGATTTTTCACCTAGTCAGCTCAGGGCTTCTAACCAGCGACCTTTCGGTTACTGGCCCAACACTCTTAACCGCTAGGCTACCTGCCTCACCCTCTGTTTGTGGACATTATCAGTCAGTGAGGGATCTGTAATATATATGATCTAATCTTTGTTTTTGCACATGAATTATTTTATTTTTTTCATACATGATACAATGCAATGCGCAGAATGGATATGCGCAAATACTGGAAGCACAATGTTGCTGAGGACATGCAAGTTGTTGATTACACTGGAGGGTGAAAGAGCGATGTTCCTCAATATCATCACCTTTTCTTCATCTTTCTCTGACTCTGTCCTTTACTCCATAATTTCCTCTTCATGCTCGCGACTCTTTCTTGGAGTGGGGCTTGTTTCCCAGGAGTGAGTCAATCTCAGCCACGGTCTGAGGAGTCATCTGTGAAATAAGCTGCAGGCATAACATGGCATGTCAGTTTAGGACTAGGCCAAAATGGTTTGGTGATTGCTTGCTTGTTTGCTTAATCTAAAATGGAATCTTAAGTGACATTAAAGATGCCTAAAAATACAGACTTTTTGTATTACCAATATTTTTACATTTCATGCTCATGACAATATCATTAGTTTGATGAGCTCTGATTGAGTGTTCACTGAAAAGTGTAACATCAGAATGGTGTGATGTTGAGGGGAGGGTCGTTACCCTAAGGGCACCCAGGTTTTCCACCAGCTGGTCAGTATTGGAGACACCGAGCAGCACTGAGCTCACTCCCTCACTGCGCAGACACCAGGCTATAGGAGGACAGAGAAGAAGGAGACAGCTCAGAGATGGAGGCTGAGCTGATGTGGCAGATTGACGCTTTCTATTTAATTCTGTGTTTCAATTCTAAACAGTATGTTAGAGTGTCAGACAGAGACATTAGATAATAGAGATGGTCAAAAACAATTAACACATGCACACGCACAGACACGCACGCATGCACAGACACACACACACCATCCATACCAATGGCTAGCTGTGCGGCGGTGCATCCCAGTCTGTCGGCCATTAGGTGGAGCTCTTTGATCTTGGCCAGCTGCTTGCGTCCCTCCTCACTGTTGACACGCTCCTTCAGCCACTGGTAACCCTGCACCAATATTAGACAGAACGAACACAGAAATATTGAATTGTGTCATCCACGGTTGTAGGCCTACTTGACAAAAAGTGGGATAGCAACTAAAGAATTCCAATCAAGTAGAAAACAGAGGAGAATATACACTAATTAATTAATTGTATTTTGTCTGGAGAACTCACTTTTATGTTAGCCCTGGAGATGTCAGGTACACCCTCACAATACTTCCCTGTGATCAGTCCACACGCAAGGGGAGACCAGGTCATTGCCCCTACACCTAGACAAGAGAGAGAGAGAGAGAGAGAGAGAGAGAGAGTGAGAGAGAGAGAGAGAGAGAGTGAGAGAGAGAGAGAGAGAGAGAGAACGAGAAAACGAGAGAACGAGAGAACGAGAGAACGATAATGTATTAAGAGTCCTCTGCAAGCAGCATTGTGAGGACATCTGGTGCTGTTCGCTGGACTGTGTGATTGTGGATGACTGACCTATCTTGTGGTAGAGTTCAGGGAGCTGCACCTCCACCTTGTCCCTCTTAAAGTAGTGATACTCAGCCTGCTCACATACAGGTGGGATCAGATTAAACTGACGCGCCACTGAGTACGCCTCCTGGTGGCAGGGAAACACAATAACAACATCACCACAGCGCACCAATGGCCTTATGTCATTGACTAAAAAGAGCAGGTGTTGACAGGAATGTATTAGGTAACAGGGACAGATAACAGGGGACTCACCATGATCTCCATGGGACTCCAGCGAGATGTGCCCCAGTACATTGCCATGCCCTGATTTATTACAAAGGTCATGGCCCGTACTATCTCTGCAAATGACATGAACCAACTCGTAATAAACATACTGTAATAACACAGCTATTATATGCTTAGAATGTAAACATTAAGACACTTTTTCGAGTACATATTACACACCATAAAGGGTTGGGAGTGGAGCAGAAAGCACATTTTCTTTGGAACAGATTGACAGTGAAGTAGAAGGACTGTGTGACTGACCTTCCATTGGGCTGTTGACATCATTACGGTTGGCAAAGACGATGTCCACATAATCTAACTGGAGTCTGGACAGGGATCCTCTCAAACCTGCAATGTAATGGGCATCATCCTCATCATCCTCATCATCGTCATTATCCTCATCATCATCATTATCCTCATCATCCTCATTGTCATCCTCATCATCCTCATCATCCTCATCATCCTCATCATCATCATTGCCACTATATCCTAGGTTAATTTGATTCTACCTTCAATGATGTGCTTTCTGGAGAGTCCCCTTTCTGTCTCCGCCCTGTAGAGTGATGGAGTTCCAGTATAGTAAGGGGATAAATAGCAACAATACAGAGTCACTTTGCCAGAACAATGGAGAAATAATGACTTATATCTGGCATTTTCCCCCAAGGATACTTACTGCCCTCCCCAGTAGATCTTGGTTGTCACAACATAACTAGAACGCCTGCCAATGAAATGGGAGGAGAGGTTAGAGAGCACAAGAATGAAATAGAATGTGTCTTTTCACCACACAGTAACATGATGTCAACCACAGAGAAGCTTTTCACCACACAGTAACATGACGTCAACCACAGAGAAGCTTTTCACCACACAGTAACATGATGTCAACCACAGAGAAGCTTTTCACCACACAGTAACATGACGTCAACCACAGAGGAGCTTTTCACCACACAGTAACATGATGTCAACCACAGAGAAGCTTTTCACCACACAGTAACATGACGTCAACCACAGAGGAGCTTTTCACCACACAGTAACATGATGTCAACCACAGAGAAGCTTTTCACCACACAGTAACATGATGTCAACCACAGAGAAGCTTTTCACCACACAGTAACATGATGTCAACCACAGAGAAGCTTTTCACCACACAGTAACATGATGTCAACCACAGAGAAGCTAGAAGCATTTGAAAAAAGGCCAAGCAGTGATAAAACATTATCAGAAAATTTACAATAATCAATTTATTCAAACAATCTATGTTAAAAACCATTTCTGTCTGTTCTTATGAAATGTGAAAAGCAAAGTCCATAGAAAAATATTTATGATTTAATATAATTAGACAGAGAGCTATTCATATGCAGATGAGTCACATTAGAAATATGAGTAATTTCACCTCCATCCTTTCTTCTTCATGATGTTCCCTAGGGTGATTTCAGCCCTGTGGAGAGAAGACGTGATGGAATGAAAATATGAACAAAAGGGAATAAACAGTGGGGAGACTGAACGATGGACAGAAAGAGAGGGAGTGATAGACAGAGGCAGGCAGTGTATATAGACAAAGAGAAGGAATAGAAGAGAGCAGTGGAGGATGGTGTAAAAGCTGACCTGCCGGAGGCATACACCTCTGCTGTGTCAAAGAGGTTCACCCCTGCATCATAGGCAATGGTCATCAGGTTCTCAGCCATCTGAGGGGACAGAGAGCGAGAGAGAGTGAGACAGAGAAACTGAGGGAGAGACAGACAGACAGAGACTGAGAGAAAGACTGGGACTGAGAATGAGAGGGAGAGAGAGAGAGAGAGAGAGAGAGAGAGAGAGAGAGAGAGAGAGAGAGAGAGAGAGAGAGAGAGAGAAAGAGAGAGAGATAGAGAGAGAGAGAGAGAGAGAGAGAGAGAGAGAGAGAGAGAGAGATAGAGAGAGAGAGAGAGAGAGAGAGACTTTACCACACTTCATCAAAGAAATTGGAAAAACAGACATTGTCATCCTACAAGAAACATGGTTAAGAGGAGACGGAACCACTGGTTGCCCTCTATGTTACAGAGAGCTGGTAGTCCCATCCACCAAACTACCAGGTGTGAAACAGGGAAGAGATTCAGGGGGTATGCTAATTTCTTATACAGCAGACCTAACCCACTATATTAAATTAATCGAAACAGGAACATTTGACATCTGGCTAGAAATGTACAAGAAAATGATATCTCCCAAAAAAAGTCCTCCTGTGTGCTACCTATATCACCCCACTAGAATCCCCATACTTTAATGAAGACAGCTTCTCCATCCTAAACGTGCAGATCAATCATTTCCAGACCAGTGGAGGCTCCTCAGAGGAGGAAGGGGAGGACCATCCTCCTCAGTGAGTTTCATCAAAATAAAAATGGTAAAACATTTACAAAGATACCTTTTTTAGATAAAACTATACTAAATATATTCACTAATAATTGATTAAAACACACTATTTTGCAATTAAGGTCTACAGTATCCTCATCAGCACTCTGTAGGGTAGCACCATGGTGTAGTCGGAGGACAGCTAGCTTCCATCCTCCTCTGTGTACATTGACTTCAATACAAAACCTTGGAGGCTCATGGTTCTCACCCCCTTCCATAGAGTTACACAGTAATTATGACAACTTCCGGAGGACGTCCTCCAACCTATCAGAGCAGGTGAACTGACATGTTGTCCACCCAGCATGAACTGACATGTTGTCCACCCAATCAAAGGATCAGAGAATGAATCTAGTACTGAAAGCATAAGCTACAGCTAGCTAGCACTGCAGTGCATAACATTTGGTGAGTAGTTGACTCAAAGAGAGAGAAAGACAATAATTGAACAGTTTTGAACAAAATAATTTATTCCAAAATGAAGGAGAAGCAAGAGAGATTTCGTAAAAAAATAATAATTTCAGTTTCACTGCTAGCAAATGCAGCTAGCTACTTTAGCCTACTCAAACACCTTGCTCAAACAGAGGGGTACTATGTTAGCTAGCTGGCTATGACTATCCCACACAACACTGGAACTATTCCAAGTCAAGGTAAGCTTTTTGTTTTACTAATTTTTTGCCACCGGGGCCCACTGGTGTAAGTGCTAAACTGCTTACTGACTGTACACTGTAAATTTACTGCATGATTGTAACAGGTTTACTACAGCTGACGTGTTGTGCATTGAAGTCCACAAGCGAAGGGAAGAGGTGAGAGGAGGGGAGAGCATAAAAGGAAGGAATACAACATGGCTGCTATGAAAGTGAACCGTGTTTACGTGTGATCAGGGGTGCATTCATTCTGCCGATTCTGTAGAACAACATTTCTTAAATGTAAGCAAATGGAACGGAACAAATAGGAACTCTCGTTTACAACTGTTGGACTAATGATTACACCCTAGATCAGCTAGATGCAGGCAAGGGTGTGCAAGGCGGTATTGAATGTGTCGCTGTCTGTCCATGTATCACAGTCTGTCACCTCAAATTTTTCTCTCGACCTGTGTGCACCTACGTTGTAAACTTTCATTCATAGGCTAGGTTGTAGCAACCTCATGATGGGTATAGGGAAAATTTGAGAATCATGTAGTAGCCTAACACTATCGCTGTTACATTGAAGTTGGTGAATGGAAAATGAATGACAGTCATCCAATATGTTGTAATAGAAATAAGGCCATGCTCATGAAAAGTAGAAATTGTCCTCCCTCATCTTAAACAGCACCGACCGCCACTGTTCCAGACCCAGGGACATGTACTAGTCTTTGGCAACCTAAACGCCAGAACTGGACAAGAACCCAACACCCTTAGCACATAGACAAACACCTACCTGGAGGTGACAGCATTTCCTCTCCAATATGCCCCGCTTTACACAACTATGACAAAACAACCAACAAAAAACGGGTCACAACTCCTGCAGCTCTGTCGCATGCTGGGTCTGTACATAGACAATGGTTGGCTTCGAGGGGACTCCTACAGTATGTACACCTACAGCTCATCCCTTGGTAGCAGTACTGTAGACTACTTTATCACTGACCTCAACCCAGAGTCTCTCAGATCACAGCAAAATCACAGCCTTCCTGAACAGAGCAATACTCAATCATGAGGCATCAAAGCTGAACAAACTGCATACTATTAAGAAATGCTATGATGGAAGGAAAGTAGTGTGGAAACCTACCAGAAAACAATTAGCCAAAAACAAATTAAATCTCCTTTAGACAACTTCCTGGACAAAACATTTCACTGCAATATTGAAGATGTAAACTTGCCAGTACAAAGCCTAAATAGTATATTTGACCTCTCAGCTTCCCTATCAAATCTAGAAATGTTAACCAGACAACCTAAAATTTTTTACAACAATGACAAATGGTTTGATGAAGAATGCAAAAACCTAAGAAAGGAATTGAGGAACCTATCCAACCAAAAACACAGAGACACAGAAAACCTGAACCTACGCCTTCACTATGGTGAAACACTAAAACAGTACAGAAATACACAGAGAAAAAAGAAAGAACAGCACTTCAGAAATCAGCTCAATGTAATTGAAGAATCCATAGAATCTAACCACTTCTGGGAAAATTGGAACACATTAAACGAACAACAACATGAAGAGCTATCTATCCAAAATGGAGATGTATGGGTAAACCACTTCTCCAATCTTTTTGGCTCTATGACAAAGAACAAACAGCAAAAACATATACACTACCGTTCAAAAGTTTGGGGTCACTTAGAAATGTCCTTGTTTTCGAAAGAAAAGCAAATTTTTTGTCCATTAAAATAACATCAAATTGATCAGAAATACAGTGTAGACATTGTTAATGTTGTAAATGGCTATTGTAGCTGGAAACTGATGCTTTTTAATGGAATATCTACATAGGCGTACAGAGGCCCATTATCAGCAACCATCAGTCCTGTGTTCCATTGGCACGTTGTGTTTGCTAATCCATGTTTATCATTTTAAAAGGCTAATTGATCATTAGAAAACCCGTTTGCAATTATGATAGCACAGCTGAAAACTGTTGTGCTGATTAAAGAAGCAATAAAACTGGCCTTCTTGAGACTAGTTGAGTATCTGGAGCATCAGCAATTGTGGGTTTGATTACAGGCTCAAAATGGCCAGAAACAAATAACTTTCTTCTGAAACTCGTCAGTCTATTCTTGTTCTGAGAAATGAAGGCTATTCCATGCGAGAAATTGCCAAGAAACTGAAGATCTCGTACAATGCTGTGTACTACTCCCTTCACAGAATAGCGCAAACTGGCTCTAACCAGAATAGAAAGAGGAGTGGGAGGCCCCGGTGCACAACTGAGCAAGAGGACAAATACATTAGAGTGTCTAGTTTGAGAAACAGCCGCCTCACAGGTCCTCAACTGGCAGCTTCATTAAATAGTACCAGCAAAACACCAGTCTCAACGTCAACAGTGAAGAGGCGACTCCGGGATGCTGACCTTCTAGGCAGAGTTGCAAAGAAAAAGCCATATCTCAGACTGGCCAATAAAAATAAAGATTAAGATGGGCAGTCTGAGATATGGCTTTTTCTTTGAAACTCTGCCAAGGTCAGCATCACAAACACAAACAGACCCCTCAGAGCACCAGGACAGCAACAAAATTAGACCCAACCAAATCATGACAAAACAAAAAGATAATTACTTGACACATTGGAAAGAATCAACAAAAAAACAGAGCAAACTGGAATATTATTTGTCCCTAAACAGAGAGTACACAGTAGCAGAATACCTGACCACTGTGACTGAC